ATCCCAGGCCTTCCTGTGACTCACCACCTGTGCTTCCCAACTCCTATGTGTCCGTTTATGTGCTCCACGCCTCTCCTCTGATTTCCAGAGCTTTGTTTTCATCTTCTATCTCTCCACCGAGAGTTTATCTTTGGGATCTGAACCTGTGAGTTCCTCCCTTCTAAGTTCAGTGCTCCTTTCAGTGTTCTGTTAGTATAGCACCACCTTCTGCCACTTCTCAAGCCAGAGCCTGGCAGTCATTCTCCACCCTGGCTGTCCCTCATGTCTCTGTCTCAGCCTTCTGCGTTTTGTCCACTGGTAGAGTCTGTGAGTGCTACACTCCAGTTCTCGGCAACTGCCACTGCTCAGCTCTGACCATCCTGCTGGCAGCACTGTGACAGTCACCCCATTAGTCTCTGCGTCCACTTGAGTTTCTACATGGAGCTTTTTCCCCCCTCAAAACTCATGTCTCTCTGGGCCTCTAAAAATCTTCCCCAGCTGCTTGTCCCCACTGTCCAGTGGGCTTGTGGAGGCCTGCACCCACCCAGTTAGTGGCTTCTCGGTGGCCTCCAGTTGCACTCGACATCCTGCCTGCTGGCTTGTCTGTCTCTCCAGCTTCTCCCAACTGTCCAGTCCCTGTTGTAAGATGGACACATCAAAAGTTTCCTCTTTTTGGACATTTATCTATCTCACTTTTCACCTTTGTATTCTTTACAGTATTTTGTTTTTATTACCCCATCTCCTCAGACGAGTTCATTCATGAGGCGAGAAAAGGCTGTGTGATTTCACTCGCTGTCTCCTCCTACCACCCAGCAGAGTGCCGTGCACACAGAGGACGCTAATGAACACTGAATGAACGAATGAGTCACTTTCGTAAGACCCTGACGTGGCGGCAATGGCAGCCATGCGTGCCCATACTTTGTTACTCACACGATGGTAAATTAAAGCTCAGGGTGAGCCAAGTTGTGCACGATCTGGACGGTGCAACACTGGATCCCAGTCAGAGGCTCTTGGAATTATTTCTGCAACATACCCTGGCCCAGTCCTACCCAGCCTTTGACATCAGTGAGAATATACTTTAAAAAGGGATCTTGCTTCTTCTGTAAAAATATAATTTTGAGAGACACACTGGTCCAACGGGATATTTAAAAAGGAAAAATATCTACCATGTCCTCCAGGACCCATGCTTACTAAAGACACAGACACTTTTGGTCACTTTTCAGAAAAATTAGTATCTACATCTTTAAGCAAATGGCTCTCCCTTACTTTAAGTTTGAAAAATTGAAAGACAATTACAATAATTTATCTCAAAACACAGAAAGTTCAAAGGTGAATTAATACTCTTAAGAAATTCCTAGGAGTTTCTAAATAACACCTTCCCACCTTAAAAATTCATGTATCATGGGATAGTCTATTTGTAAGACAAAATAAAACTCATTTTCACTGAACATTGACATACACAGATTAACCTTTCTAAACCACAAGGATTATGCCTTTATATATAAGACTTAACTTTACTGCCTCGCCTTATTTACCAATAGACTCATTCTAAGAACTTTAACTCAGATGATAACAAATATAAGATATGAAAGTTAACATAAAATATATTTTTGTTTGTTTTGTTCTGGGGATCGAACTTGGGTCCTTGCGCTTATCAGGCAGGCACTTTTGCCACTGAGCTATATCTCTGGCTCGAAGATAAAAGATAAACAAACTGAAAATTTGAAGGAGAA